AAAGAGAATCTCACCTCTTTGGCAGTATCAATGAATTAGATCAGGTCAATCTGTCTCATCTGATTCCAACCTTACAGAAATACTGTGGTAATACTGCTAATAAACCTTTAATAGCAGCTGTAATAGCTGTGAATTTGAAAATGGGACAGAAAGGCATTTGCAACTGGAAACTGAAGATTGAAGACTTCAGTTTAGCAATCCTGAAAAATTCCCAGTTGGGGCTTTCAGTGGGAATGGTCAGGTGAAACAGGTAAGAAAACAACCAACCCAGCTGACGTGTTACACAGCTTCACTGAAGCCACTAGTCATCGACTCTGAATCCCATCTTTCTGTCATTCATCAGTAATTAGGTAAGTGGTATTTTGTGGTTTGATTATTGTCACTTGAGTTAGCTAGAACAGAGCATGTTGCCTTGTACCATAACAGTGAGATTAAACCATAAAAAAAAAAAAAAAAAAAAGGAAAAAAAAGAAAGGAAACGGAAGAGAAAAGAAAGGAGGCTGTCTGAACAGAAAACACTGCAGCCTGGAGCACCCTATGGTTAGCCAGCATAAGGACTACAGGGCTTTCCCACGCTCCCTGTCCGCATACCTTCCCCTTAACTACAGCGAGTTTGAATCTGAATACAAACTTTCAGTTACTTGTTACCCTCTGGTGACATCTCGTGGATCAAAGCAAGATATCGCTGCCTGCTGGCAAACCCTACAAAGCCTCAAGTGTCTGAACCTGAAGAGTGGACGTCTCTTTCCCAAGTCTAAGGAGCTTTATAGTATCCCACAAGGTTTAGGTTTTCTTTGTTTTTTCCTTCCTCTCCTGCTCTGTGGATAGTGCAAATGAGCAGTGTAGCAACAAGCCCCCTACAAAGAACTGAAAACAGAGCTAAGCAAGAAAAAAGCAAATGAGAGATCAGAGCATAGAAACAGGGAAAAGAGGAGAGTAGTGAGTAAATTTCATGAGCTATGTTTCCTATTAGTAAAACAGATTCTAATATCTACAGCTGAGTATAAGCAAGTGTTGAGCAGTTACAATTTCATAGCTGAAGTCAAGGGGAATCTATGCACTGCTTGACACAGTGGCAGGAGCAAGCAAATAATCAGTACCACATAATCATAGAACGTCGTACCCTTCAAATATTAAGTATCTAACCCTCCCAGTATGCCTGTGCATCATTCACGGGGCTGGAACTAAAGACTCAGCTCAGATTCAAGTTGTGACACTAAGAAATTGTTCAGAAAAAATACTGAAGCATACTGCAATGTATAGCCAAAGCAACAGCTGTTTGAGCAAAAATATCAACGTACGCTATGGCAGTCCATAACATCAGTCAAGCACCAAACAGCCTGCCCGGCTTAGCAATTCCTTCAGAAAAGTAACTTAAAAACAGAAAAGCACCAGCCGTTTCAAAGTCATGTCACATCATATGTGACACATTTTATGATATATTAATCTCAAACTACATATGAATTAGCAGTTAATTACCTATTAAAACTGTTATGGTAATGAGAAATACTTGAACAAACAAAACTATATCTAGCAATGGACTAACAAACCTTCACCCCTTGAGATTACTGAAGAAAAACAGATTGTCCCAATGTGCAGCACAAACTAATTCCTAACGGCTTTGCTTTGTATCGTTTTAGAGAACAAAACAAAACTTGGTGATAAATGAAAAGTATCAGCAAGAACATTATAGACATAGGCAGCTAAGGCTTGGTAAATGTTGGAGAAAATAACAGGAACTGAAGAAGTGTAGTTTGTTTCAAATTTGGAGGGTATCCAAATGCCTAGTAATGCTGACATAATTACTGTTTAAATGGTTGAATTTTAGTTGCCATTGCTAGCTTAAGCATCAGTAAATATTGCCTCTGAACTTTAGCCATCTCAGCAAGCTAGCTAGCTCATGACTGAAATCTTTGTACAGCTGAAAACCTTTACAAAGAGCCTGCAATTGGAGGACAGTGGAAAAGGTTTTATCTCAAGGAATAGCTTAGAAGAACAATGTATTAAGAAAAAGCTGGGCAGCAAACCAAGTATTTGTTGTGGGAAAATTTACAAGTTTTTTAAAAAATTAGTCCTGAATAATAAGGCAGCCAAAGGTCCTTCAAAATGTCACTGGGGCACATTCATGATCAACTAACTTGACGCTTTTAGCTCTCCAGGCTGCTGATTATGATTCCCTGCTAAAGTTATTGAACTAATGCCACTGCCCATAGGAGAAAGTCAAGACATAACTGAAGAAGAAAAGGTTACATAGGACAAGCCTTCTTCAGAAAGCCCATTGCAGGACCCCAGCACAATATTGCTAGACACTCTTCCAAGGAATTAGTTATGGTAGTTCAGCAGCGCTTTGGAAAGTCTGGCCATGAACATAGCCATTGGGTGTACTAATTTCTCGTATTTCTCCCAGGCAGTTACCATCAGATAAAGAAACTTTAAAAAAATGTTCTGTAGCTTTTATGGCTTTGAAATGACTCTTAAAAAAAAAAACACCTGAGGCACCAGTTTGAAACAGTAGGTCAATTACGGAAAAACTGTAAAAACCCTCTAATTTATCCAAATAATAAAGACTAATGATAGTCAAAATTTACTCCTAGACATAAACCAGTTAATTTTCACCTGTGCTAGCTCCCTGAACCAGCTCCTCACTCAGTCCCATGAGTTCTAGAGCTGGCTCATGGGGAGGAGTATGTAAGCAGGAAAGGCAATGCTGGCTCTAGGCCATGTTGCAATCCAGCGGGTCCAGTTTCAACTGCAGAAGCTGCCTGGGAGGTCTGACCACAGCTAAACTAACTGGGCCACTCTGCTCCCTCCCACCCAGCTTGAATATCCAGCACTCCTGTTGCATTAGAGCTAGCCACAGCTCACCTAGCAGCAAAGTGAATTTGTCCGGCACAGGAAACAAAGTCTGCAGTGAAAAAAAAAAGTTTCCTGGTAGACCAATTACCTGAATCTACTCACCTTGTGGTGAGAATATCAGATTTGACATAAAAGGGGAGCAGAAAACTGTGAACAAGAGGGCAGGAAACTGTCTCTTTGGTGGCACTTAGCAAAATTTAAAATTAAAAATAATTAAAAAAAAAAAAAGAAAAAGAAAAAGCAGGCTTTTAGGCTTTAAGGCTGCTTAAACTTCAGAAAGTAAAGCACTGGGACGCTGGGTCCAGTCAGAAGGGTGAAATTCCTGGAGTTTGCTTCAAGGTTGTCTGAGCAACTAATGTGTCTCTTAGCCTTGGACAAGAACAAGACAGGGAGATGAGACTGTAAATTCCTTTTGTGCACCTCGAATACTAATAAATGGGGGGGGGGGGATCATGAAAAAAAATAATTAAGTTACACCCCATATTTTCAGTGGCCCAGCTACTATTTACCTATTTGACTATTCACCACCCAGTGATGAATAGCATCAGGGCTGGTACAAGAGGAGGGAAGGAACATGTTCCCCAGGGCAGCTCACCACTTAATCTGCCAGGAGGCCTCATCCAGAATTTCTCCTGATGCAAACCTTGGCGAGGCTTGGCTGTCTTTGCTGCTGGTGACTGCAGCTTCAAATGGGGATGTGCAGATGGCTCGTATCCCATGCAGGATGCATTCAGCCTCCGAGAGAGGCACTGGTCCTGATCGCAACGAAAGATGCCAACCTTCTGCCCTGAACCTGCGCATCTTTTTTGGCAGGGCCCAGCTTCTGACATGGCACGCAGCCAGCCCACGAGGCTGTGACTCCACCTTGGCACCCACCACCTGACGCACTCCCATTCCCCACAGTGGCCATCGGGCAGGCCCTTTGATTATGGCGGGGAGCGGCTGCCGTCGAATTAGACAGCGCTCCTGGGGGAA